TGATAGTTAATGAAGTAATTCGAAAATATAAACCAAAAAAATATTGAGAATAAACATTCAAACAAAATAATATTAATCTTATTGTAAAACAAAAAAAAAAAATAAATAAATAAAATAAACATAAAAATTGTAAAAATATAAAACAACAAAATGAAAAATTGTTGTTTGTTCACTAATTGTCATTAATCCGAGCTCCTAAAATTGAAATTAAAAATATTACAACAGTTATATAAATTATATTGTATACAGGATTATTTAAAGTGATTCATCAGTTTAGGTACTCGTTCAATATGCTATCTACCGTAAATATTTTATCTACTGCAGTAATTAGATAGCATACTAAACCATCAAACGTGTGGTAGATAGCATATTGAATGAGTACCATAGTTTACACATAGTTTCCTTGACCAACAGCAGTGGCGCCAAGTCCTAAAAATATAGAGTAGGGCGAAAAATATTTCAAGAGGCCCAATATCTTAATATTGGAAAAAATGGCATACAATGGAGAGGAAAATGGTTRATATGAAGTGGCCCTATCTTAAATTTTCAAAATATGTTGGGCCATAGCCCAACCTTAACATAGGGTTCGGCACCACTGACCAACAGATTTTATGAAATGTATAGGACGGTCCTATTGGGTCTAAATACTTTGAGGATATGTTAAAACAAAATTGGCATATGCACAATATCTTTTAAAAATGTATGTGCTGGATATGCTGTAACAACTATGAGATGAATTTAACTATTGATTATATGTTATTCAAGTAAATAAGGGAAACTACAGAGAATATTAATTACTATAGATACCAGAAACTAAATTTCAAATAATAATATTTTAATGCCAATTTAATATTAAATTTTAAGACAAAAATTATACTATCATTTTGAATAACCCTATATGACAAAATTAAGAAGCACAGAGTTAATTTTATTATGTTCACAAAAATATACTTTACAGGAATAATGATCTTGTACTGTAAAATCAACTAAATTTAATAATTTGTTTAAACTAATAGAGGGCAATATTCTAGACCACAGAGAAATTGAACCAAGTTTTTCAAAATTATAACCTAAGGCTTATTAATATTTCTTCAAAAATATGATAATTTAAGGTTTTTTTAAAATTAATATTTTATACAATTATTTGAAATAAAGTAAAAACTATTGATTTAACCCAACCTATAGGAAGCCTTTTACTTCTAGATAAAATAATAGTTATTSAAATTTAACAATTCTACTAGGCCTGAGATTTTATCTTGTTAAAATAATACATCAAATAGATCCCTCTTAAACAGGTTATCGGGCAGTAGATTAGTATTATAATTAAGGAAGCAATTTTATAGAATTCCAGAACAATTGAAAAATTGGTACCAGGCTTTTAAATATATGGGTACAGTATAATAAAATATTATGTTATGTTCAATAAATCCACATAATATTAACTTAATAATATTTTAGTAATACCTGCTACGTCTATGTCTTCGATGTCTATCATATGACCGTGAACGACTACGGCTTCTTGATCTAGAGTATGATCTAGACCTAGATCTGGAAATTGATCTACGCTTATAGCGATCACGGCTCCTTGAACGACTCTTAGACTTTTTTGATCTACCACTTCTCCATCCACGTCGTCTATCACCTATAAAAATGTAATGAGTATTATAAATTTATTTTGTTATAAAATAAATTGTTTTAAATTATACCTCTTCCTGAAAATCCATTTGAACGCCAGTTGTCAGCTATGTCTTTTAGTTTGGGACTTATAGTTTGATTGGCTTCTGTAAGAACTGAAACCAAATCTGCAGCTTGTTTGGCATTTGACTGTGTAAAGAATGTGTAAGCTGTACCCGTCTTGTGAGATCGACCGGTACGACCAATGCGATGTACATAGTCTTCAGAATTATTAGGGTAGTCAAAATTGATTACAAACTTCACATCTTCCACATCTAAACAACAATTCAAATAAATTAAGAAAAAAAAAATCAAAAATACTATTAAATATCAACACTTGTAGTTGTTAAATGTTGCTGTTTGGCCCAAGACTTCATAATCACTTTCATTTACCATAGTGAATATCCAAAATAACATTGTTAACATTTTGTTTATTTGCTATTTACCATCGACATCCGGTGTACATGTTTAAGCGCCCCACACGGGACAACGATTGACGTTGGACACGTCAAACATACACAGACAGGTCGAGGCGGCAGTTGGGGGGACAGCAGTGGAATGACTAGCCCCACGTTGCCGCCAGTGCGCGACTACTCAAACTACTTGTGTAGCCAGAGCCGCCACGAACACACAGACCCACACGCAATTATTTATGCATGTCCATTTTCGAGGCACAGCGTCGACAATGMGACAACATTGATACATTTTTATAGTATTTTTTAAATTTAGTACGCATTGTACAGCTTGTGTGTGCCTCTGTAATGTAAAATAAAACAAAAAACAGAACATATCAAACACCTATAATTCCAGGTAGTTCTAAAAAATTATACCCATTTTGCGTGTACATATAAGCTTGCGTTATATTTCAATGCAGATTTAAAATATAAGTTAAATTAATCCAACAAATTAAACATATTTAACAGACACACACTTATCATTAATATAATGTCATGAAAACGATCATGAATAATTATTTCTATTAACATAAATGGAATAATTAAGGAAGATACTTTTTTGAATACTGTGCAACAATAAATAGCAACAGGGTTAAAAATAAATATTTTTAAAGATTATAAAAACAAAATACCTAAATTACAGTACTTTTATTATTTTGAAAAAAATGTTTAAACACAAAACTGTCAAATTGTATTAAGCATATTGTTATTTTTTAGATGAGGAAAATTCCTTCAGTAAGTTGTCAAATTTATTTAAACATCTAAATATGTAAATATTTTTTTCAATAATGTAGGTACGTTTGGTACCTTCAAATATATTTTTAGCAAAAAAGTATTTTTTAAATATTTTTATTCATAATGTATTTTCTTATTATTTTATTTTTATTATTATTATTCAACATTAGGTTGTATAAAACCCTAATATAAACACTAATTGTATAATCATATTAGCATCACCATTAATATAGATAGATTGAGAGTTGACAATTTACAACTGATCTAAGAAYGTCACTAACATGATTAATGTATTTAACCATTTGATTATTTTATAATTAACTGTAATGTCATTGACAGTGGTTCWCAACTAGTATGTTGTGAATTATCTGAATGTACRTAGTCAAAACAATTGTTAAGTTAGTTATTGAATGTATTGGAGATATATGACATTATTATGAAATGAAGTAAAAGTAAAAACCCTCAGATAAGAAATAGTTGTGAAGATGGTCTTATTCTCAATTTACAWATATGTTTAAAACTGTTGCTTTTTCAAAAATCAATTATTTTAAATGTCACAATTTTAATGGATCTATAAATTACGGTATCATAAACAAAAACAAAAAGGTTGAGAATTAGTGGGCTAGGGCAGATTTATATGCTATATAATATGTAATTAAATTATGGAAATATGCATAAAATATTCAATAAAAAAAAAAATATATATAGTAATAATATTTAAAAACAGTTAATTAGTATAAACATATGAAAGATGCAACATATTATATGTAATTAAAAGAAACATTTAATTATATATTTTTTTTAAGTACCTAATCACAAGTGATATTTAATATTTTTTTAGTTGTTGGTATATAGACAACGAGTTGTTGGTATATACTTAAATGAGCTTACTTTATAAAGTCAAACCTCTTTGTCTAATATTGCATTACTAATTTTGCTCCATACTTTTAGTCCTGATTTATAAGAAAAATTTATCAAAATGTCACTATTTATTTTATCAAATGTTCGTACAAGTTATTGCATGACTGTCATACCACCTAACAAATTCTTGAAATGTTGGCCTTGAAATAGACAACTCTGACAGCCCTAACAATATATACATTTGTATATCATATTTTTCAATCAAAATTAACTTTTTAGTAGCCAATGTAAGTATCAATTGTTAAAAAACAATATGATTCTTAAATTAAAGGTGAAATAAATTCAGTAATATGAGGAAAACATTAGTTTAAAGTAGTAAGTCTTGAAAAAAAGTTTTACCTTATCTTCTTCAATTATTTTCCAAATTTACTATTTTCAATATAAAATACCAATACACTGACCATTCTGAATTTAAACAATAGGAAAAATACTATTGAACTCAAACATTATTTTTACAAATTTAGAACATAACAAGCAAAGTACTTTTATTTTTGTGTTTGTTGTTATGTCTATTCTTTTTGTTTTTTTTCKCAATAGAATTAATCACAGCTTATGAAATATATTAAAAGTTCAGCTAAAGATCTTTCTTGTAAGTGAGGTTATGTGTGAATCTCTTAAATGTATTTAAACTAACAGTAATTTAAGTATTAATTATCTATGAAAAATTTGATATAAATAAATACCTAATAGAAATACAATAGTTCTTTTAAAATTAAAATTTGATGTATTTAGATCATAAGAAATACATCTTATACACTAAATATTTATTTTATTTATAAATACACAATACAAACAAATTTGTACATATTAAGTTGGAACAATTATTAAATTTATTTAGATACGGATAGATAAGTGTAGAAAAACCAATAAATTATAGAACTTCCAAAGTTTGTTCACAAAATGTACATAAAATATTAATTGTCTCTGCATTGATATTTCAGACGACAAAGAGTACTATCATTGAGGTCATTAATTGATCAGTTAAGATTTGAGCTATTTYGTATGTTGCATTAATATAATTATACCAAAATACAATATGAAATAAAATAAGTAAGTATASTCAATATTTATATAGTAAAAGTACAACAGCAAAAGTAAAAAATGAAAGAATAACATTATTAGTTTGGATAACAATTTAGGTGACTAAGCTATAAATAAACATTAAATATTTAAATTAGTAGAATTTAAGTAGCGAAGCATCCCATAAATTGGATGATTAAGACCATAGTTAATCGATTTAAATGTAGAGGAGATAATGGTTTCTAGAGATATGTTACGGGTACCGAGTAGAAATTTATTGTAAATACAAAATGAGTACTAAACTACAGCAAGGCACTAACAAGTATCAACTACTGATTAATGATTAACAAATTAATAATTTACTATTTAATATTTATATATAAACAGTAAACACGAGATCTATTTTTGTAATTCGTAGAAGAACAACCTGATTTGTTTGTAATAAATTGGMTATTGTAAAYAGGTTCAGTTATTCTAATGTGTACCAAAATAATTTACTATTTATTTATCTAGAATTTTAGATTTTCCYGTTAAATTAATTATAGGTATACATAATATATTTTGAATGTACAGATTATCAGTGTTTCCTAGTTATCGGATATGAGTTGAGTACAAATGTAGTATTTTGCCGGGTAAAAATGTAAGTATTAAGCCGGATACAGAGTAAAATCCGAACCTTAAATATGATATAGAGTACCCGGGACAACTTTAATGGTTTAACGAAAATAAGGGTTCTAGAAAATKAATGTTAGAGAGTAGGTAAGAGACATCTTATGCTATTTAAAAGCAATGCAATGGAAGGAAAATCAATATAAAACTAATAAGAAAGGAAAGAGGGKTGATAAAAGATACTATATTAAAGTGAATAATCATGGTTCATATTTTTCAATTTTAAGGATAGGAGCAACTGAGAAGAAATTTATTTGAGACTATTTTGTATGCAGTTAGTTTTAAGTTAAGTAAACCAAACAATTACATAACCTCTAAGACAGAACAAACTAATGTTGAATAAAGTATATGGAATTGAACATTATTGAAGTCATTATTCAAAAAGATAAACTCAATTTACAATACTGCCATCAATAGAGACATTTTAATGAGAGAACAATGTTTTTGAGAAGGGCATTACATGATATTTTTTCAAGATTTAATTTAAGTCATAGATGTTTAAAACAGGTTTAAGAAATATAACTTCTAAATTGAAAAGGCTAGCAAAAATTAGATAAAATATATATTGTATGCAAAGAGAATCAGTTTCACATTAGATCAAGTTTTTAATTGTGTTTACAAACATTTAGCAGAATCAAGTGAATCAATGTGTTTAAATAAACTAGGTATTTAAATTATGGCATAAAACTGACAAAATCAGATTAAAAATATACAACCTAAATATAATTTTTTTTATTAGAATTAAGGCTCTAACTACTAAGGTCATTATTAGATGAAAAATATATTATTGGTTTTTGAGCAAGAATTTTTTTAATCATATTTTACTTAAGTATCATATTATAGCAAACCATTTAAAATATTTTCCATAAGCTAAGAATATAATAGCCATAATTATATTGATGGCRCAATTGGTAATAAATAATAATACTTTAGAATTTTTAAATAATACTAAAATATGATTTTAGAGTATTCTTTGTGATCAAAGGTCACTTTGTAGTTTGTAATATACAATACCACGGCGTGATAATATTATAACAAAGGTTTAATGTGATAAAACTTTTAAAATCTGGTTTTATTTGAATTCAATAATATTCAGAACTTTACAAATTTCAAACTAACAACTACAAGTTTAACGATTTTACAAAATTTAATGTAAAACCAACAGGAAAGAAGAAAATTAAATAATGTTAACGAATCATAACCAAAGAAAAAGTTATTCTTTCTGTTAGCAAATATAATTTCAAAATTGGTTTGAAAATGTAAAGTATATAAATTATTTACAGAAGGTTTTTAATTGTTTTAAYAAAACTATTAAGAGAACGCCACACCCGCATGTGTTGTCTCTGTCGTAYAAGTGCGTAGCATAGCAACACTCAGCACATCACGCTTATTACTGTTAATTTAATATTTAGAGTGAATTGACCTATTATAAAAGTTAAAGGCAAGATTATTACCGAGGACATCTCATGGGCTTTTTATTTTAATTTTAAAGCGAGTTATGAGTAWTTTAAAATTGTAAATTATTTTTATACCTAAAAATACTCATAACTCGGTTTAAAATAAAAAATAATAAAAAGMCCATGAGATGCCCTCAGTAATAATCTTGCCTTTAATTTTTATAATAGGTCGATTCACTCTAAATTTTAAATTGAAGGAGATTAACAAGATTTGCTGAGCGTAAAATTTKCTATGCTACGCACTTGTACAACGAAGACAACACATGCAGGTGTAGCGTCCTCTTAAGATAAAAATTAAACTTAAAAATCATTTATTAAAATTTAAAAAATTAAGTTGTCTGAATAAAAACTACAATAATATACTAAATAGTTTAATTTGGAAAATCAGCAGTACAACACATAATTTTAATTTCTAATTATTTTAAATAAAAAGGTTTTTTATAAATTATTTCATTATGAAGGTAAAAAATTAAATAGTAAAAACCACATTATAAAGTTAATTAAAACAACTACTTTCAAGTTTTTATTGTTTTAAACTATAAATATAATATAATTTGATTTTAATCAAATATTATTTACTAGAAATTTCTAAAAATTAATTATATTAAGACCTTAAAACATAATTGTAGTTACTCACCAAGTCCACGAGCAGCCACATCCGTTGCAACCAATATAGGGTAACGACTATCTCTGAAATCTATAATATATAAATGTTACTAGATTATRACTTAATTTTGTTAAAAATTCAAGCAATACAAATTTAAAAGTCATACCTTTCAAAACATTGTCTCTTTCATATTGTGATTTATCACCATGAATACAGACAGCTGAATACCTAATATATAAAAAAATAATTATATTAAATTACAACAATTTTATAACTAAATTTATTATTGTATTAACTCACCCATGTCTTTTAATCTTTCTTGTAATTTCATCCACTCGCCGTTTAGTTTCTATGAAAATAATAGTTTTATTTTCATCTTCGTCCATTATTTTCTTTAAAAGAGATATTAACCTAATAAAATATTATATGTTAAAAAATGATAGAAACTAAAAACATAATCCATTTTGGAATATATACTTTGTTTCTTTGTCATATTCTTGACAGACTTCAACAATTTGTTGGATATTATGGTTAGCTGCCAATGTCAAGGAACCAATATTTATTTGTATATATTCATCTAAAAATTCTTCAGCCAAATTCTTCACTTCTTTAGGCCATGTTGCTGACCACATCAATACTTGTCTATCTGGCTGCAAGCAAATAGATAGATGTATAAAAATAATATATGATTAATTTTATTCATTAATAATTGCATACTCTTATTTGATCAATAATTTTCCGAATCTGTGGTTCAAACCCCATATCCAACATTCTATCAGCTTCATCTAAAACAAGGTAAGTGCATCGACACATATTTGTACGTTCACTTTCAAGAAAATCTAATAAGCGACCTGGTGTAGCAATAACTAGTTCAACTCCACGACTTAAATCAGACGCCTATAGAAAGATATTGATAATCAAGGAAAGAATGATGATTAATTTATTTTAATATTCCAATGTACCTGACCACCTTTTGGTGCACCTCCAAATAAACATGTACTGCTAACTCCAAATGCATCACCGAAATCATCACAAACAGTTTGTATTTGTTGAGCTAATTCTCGAGTRGGAGACAATACTAATACAATAGGTCCATCACCACGAGATAATTTTCGTTGATGAGAAATATGTATTAATGCAGGAACAATATACTGTCAAAAAATGAAATTATATACATTTATATAATAATCCAATTCATATACTATAAATATTAAAATACCGATAATGTTTTTCCAGAACCAGTAGACGCAATACCAACTAAATTATTACCGGACAAAGCTATTGGCCATCCTTGTGCTTGAATAGCAGTAGGCTCAACAAAACCTTGTTTCCTGTTCAAAAAATAATCATGTAATCTGATGATCAATTACTTAACATATATATTTTACAAAAATGTATTACTTTAATTCTTTGATTATGATTTCAGGAAATCCACTTTCATCAAACTTAAATATTGGTTTTGGAATATTTTCACCAACTAATGTTATTTCTTTCTCTTCTCTGTACTTTTCTATATCTGATTTTGATCTATAAATATTTTAATTTTAAAATGATACAATCCAATTATTAGTTGATGTACAGAAAACATTTTAAACATACATCCATAAGAAGAATAAACAGAAACATTACATGGAAATACACAGAGCTTTAAATGTATACATAACGTGACTATACATCCTGTTTTGGGCGGGACAGTTCCACTGTCTAAAAATGTCTCGCTTTAAGAAAAGTTGACTTGTGGTAGGTATTTATGATCACATATTTCTATCATACATTTATACTATACTTATACAGTATATGTATAACTTATGTAACTACATAATTTATATAAACTGTAAAACGCTAAAACCCATAGTCCATAGATTGTTAGGACTTAGGGAGTCTCTGTACTAAAGCCATTCTTATAACATGGAATAACATAAGTCAAGAGATCCATTCATACATAAAACAAACAGGCCACTTTAAAGCAGACTTGTGGATACGACAAATATATAGAAAAATGATATGGTTTACTTATTAAAATGTGCAGGTATCCGCTTTGAAGAAAAAAAATTGTGGTCACATTATGTATACATAACAATATCAMATTTAATAGAATAAATAATATATTTATTTAAGAAGCTGTATTTATATTTTAGTGATGTGAAAAAAAATGCATTGTCATTATTTAATTGGATTAACTAACTAATTACTTTGTATATGAAATTATGAATTTATATGCCCCCAMACGAACATGTTCAGTGSGGTCCATTATCTTTTTAAAGAATAAACGATAATATATAAAAATAAATAAATAAAATATTCTTAAGTATAGGTTTAAAATGTTGGTTTATGACTTTTGTATAATTTGTATGTTTAGTGGTGTATATTGCAAAGAAAGTTATTGAGTTATCTAATATTTTATTAACATAGAAGCAGTTATATAAATTCTGCATAATATTGTTTTTTTAACAACATGTTTTCTACATCTTAATGAAATTTAAGTAACTTAAACAATTGCCTGTTGCCTTATGCCTATGGGACTTTCTCTCTTTGGACAGCTGTTGGCTTAGATAGACAATCCGTGGGGAATATGTTCCCATTACTCATGCTACTCTTATTCTCTGATGAAATATTCTTCCTGCTTAAATATATGCATCATTACAATTTTACCAACTAAGACAATGTGGTAGATATTAACCTAATATTTTATGTAGTTATTAATAAATAAATTTAACTAATTTAAGTCAATCAAAATTTGTCTTACTGAATAAGTAAGTCGAGCTGTTTGTYGATTGTGTTATGTTTGGCATACATTTACCGTGTGCAACCAAATATTGTAATTATTTTTTTTCAACAAAATCAACTGGAGGACGGTACAGGCTTGCTGAATCAATTAAGGTCTGATTGATTTGTACATCTTGATCAATATATAATCAACAACTATATCAAATTTAATAATAGATCTTGTAATGATGTCTATATTTAAGCTGGGATATTATTTATACCGAACAACCAATTGTAAAAAAATTACAACCAACAGTAGGTTAATCATTAGGCCATAACAACCATAAAATCAACTATTTAAAGGAGTTAAGAACATCTTATTATTTATTAGATATAGGATTTATAGCAATTAGAAGCCGTAAGATTTGCGCATTAGACTAAAATTGATATCATTTACTCTAAATTAATTATTATAAAAAAAAATTAGAACTGTACTTTAGACTGTTTAGACTAAATTTTCCATTCAAATAAATTAAATTTCTTACCTGTTATGGACAGCTTCATGTGGCAAATAGAAATCTTTTTTAAATGGTTCAAGTTTTTTTGTGTCCCATCGAGGTTTACGTAAGTTAGAGCCTGGATCACCTCTACCTCCTCGACCACCACCTCGTCGTCGTATTGGACTTCGACTTCGTCTATCCCGTCCACGTCTACGATCTCTCGATGACGATATTGGGCTGTTCAAGAAATGTATATAAAAACAAAATTATTATTTTATCAAAACGACAATAAGTATTAGTTAAATTTAATATTAAGATTSACTTACTTTCTGCTATAACCCATACTGGAGACCATTCACTGGTAGGCGGGATCAAAAATAAGAAATGTAAAATTTACGATTCGAAATAATTATTACTACTCCAGATATTTAGTTGATTATGTTGAGTAAACAAATCTAAATATCGACATAAGTCATTAACGTCTTCAGAAGTTCATAACCTTTCACTAAATAGCAATTAAACATACTGCATTTACTATTTATGAAAGATGAATCAACTTCGATATACGAAACTTCGTGACACTCGACAATTGGCAATCAGCGCCCAGCAGTTGGCATTCAAGAGTCTGACTCTGAAGTCAGTAGTCAGTACTCTAAGTACTCAGTACTCAGCAGCGATTAGGCTTAAATGCTTAATAAAAATGAAAAAATAAAATACACAGAACTCGGAAGAATCCATGTTAAAAATGTTAACATGGCGTCATCATGGAGAAGAAACTACATACACAAAAAATTATTTTGAATAAAAAAAAAAGTTTAGTAGTTTAGTTAATAAATAATAGTATAACGAATAACGATGTAGATAATACGGTATGGTCGCTCCATAGACCTTATATTTAAGGTATAGCCGTATAGGGTCGTATAGAGTACGTATAAGGTTTACGGAAGTTCTCAGTTTCAATCTTTATTCTTTAATTAAGAATTATTTGATTTTTTATTTGACGGCATTAATGAGGGTATTATCCGCCAGGAGCGCTAAGACGGCTGATTATTTGTATGATAAATGATAATTCTGTTTAACAGATACATAGATAATAATATAATGATTAAATGATTATAATATCTATGAGCAGAAGAGCTGCAGATGCATACGCCATACAGCATTATAAAAAAAAAAAAAAATAGGAATAATCTGGAATACTAGGAAAGTAGAAAAAGAAAATAGGAATGACAAATGAATACAGTTTACTTCTCAAGCGATTTTTTTAAATTTTTTTTGAGAAATATTACTATTTATATTCGGCATTGTAAAAAGCGTGTTATCTACCGGGTCCGCAATAGGTACCGTATAATATTCTGTTTATGAATACGAACGACGGTGATAATGTACAGAAACGTTATTGTTAATTGAAAAACCGAATAGAGAAATAAACGTATCTAATTTTACAGTCTACATGTCACTATATACCCGTCTATCGTAGTATCGTCGTGTATTTCCAGACATATTGAGTCGGCCGTTGGCGTATATCCAAACCCTACTGAACTGGGACACTATAATAGTGCCTGAATCCGGTTAGACTTTGTAGTGCGCGTCTTCACTACATTCTCTTACTGACTTAGGGCACACTATTAAATACTAAATAGGTATTCGTATTGTACATTTGTAAGTAGGTATATTTTATATATTTTATCATACCTACCTAACTTAGTATTTTTAAACTTCTATAGATAAATGATAATATTATGAAAACAAATAAACATAATAAATAACTGATTAGTGATTACCAATTAAACTAAATAAATAGGTACATTTATTTGCATTCCATATAATATTATAAATAATAATTTGGGTAAGCMGAATTTATGATTACAATGATTTATAATTCATCAATATAATATAGTCAATTACATAACAATACCTTAAAATATTTCCATTATTATTATTTATTTACTTTTTTATGTTAGTAAGTAAGTTAATATGATTTTGAATTAGATTTATTAATATTGAAAGTTTTCATAGAACTTACAATTCACAATTCTAGAAGTTTCACCSACACATAGGTACGTTTGGTAATTATGGTTCTACAAGAAACTTTAAGCTGAAACAATGACGAAAATTCAGTCAAATGAAACTGACTTTTATACAAATACCTATGAGTTTTATTGAAATTTGATAATCAAAAAATTAATGCAACTATACTATCGTAATACTTACAATGAATATTCAAGAAATAAATATTCTTAAGATTTACTAAAATATTTATTAAAAGTGGGAAATAAGTATTTAGGGATACCACTTTAAAACGTTGACACATAATGGAAATTGTATAATATAGGTAATACAAATATTATTTATTATATTACGTAATAATTTTAGACGGTGTGTGCCCCCCCCCCTGAAACAATTCTGGATACGCCGCTGGGTAAGAACATTATGATTTATGAGTTCTGTGCTTAAGCTTTGCGATTTTTTGATAATTATATTTTCATATGGGTATGTGAAATACCACTAATTAAAAATGYCCAAATCTCGCTTAAAAATTGAAGTATCGAATAAAACTATAAAAGCTGACGCTTGAATACAGATAATGTTCTTACCTAAAACTTTAATGGTTAAAAGTCAAATTCAGTAAAATAATAAAATTAACAGTATTGAACTAGAGAACGAAATGTTAGTATGGCTTATGTGTGTAAGACGGAGAATACAAATTAATGGGTACCCAGCGTCCAACAAAGTCGTCCGACTATGCTACTAGAGATGTAATATTACTTTTTTATTAATTGAAATTATTACAGCTCCAATAAATGGAGACAATTGTTAGCCATAAACAATATAAATATATAATAACATGATAAATCCATAGATCTTATACTCAGCATACGGTCTGTTGATAAATATTATAATATGTCCTTTTACAGAAATCTTTGTGAACAGGCATAATCTAGCGGCTTTAATCGTGGCTGGAACATTGCGTTAGCAATGTTTGTAAATGTTTACAGCTTCGTTTAGCAAAGCAAACAGACTGCAGCGAGTGCAGAGTGCTAAGCAGCACAAACTTCTCCGTTATCAAACGTTTACTACTAAAGAACTAAAGAAGTACAGAATTTCCTGGTATAGGTATTATGATTTATAATATAGTATTGTTCTATTCATAGACTTTGATATTTTTATTTTATTTGACTATTCATTGTTCTATTCATTCTATGGTTCTATTTGTTCTATGATATTATTATCATGGCTAAATTTATTTAGCCATGAAAATTATTTCTTAATTCGTGGTTCGAACTTCCAACATATATTTCACGTTGAGCACTCCTGGTTGTTTTGTTTATATTTTACCCATTATCATTTTACATTTGTTTTGTCATCTTAATCAAATTTCCCTTTGAATTATTATTATTTAGTAATTTACATTAAACTACTTAAACTTTTTAAAAACGTAATTTTCTTTTTATATCATTGAATTATCTATATTGATTTTGTATCCGAAAAGCTTTAGTTTTTGTTTACGTTATAATGAATTCCACTATACTTTTATGTTTTGTATTAGTTTTAGGTTTTTCATTCTTGCATAAAGGTAATTTTAAGTCTAAAAGGTGTGGCTGTCTTTTGTCACGCCCTTGTATAACTTAACTTGTCATTTTTAGTTAGTGGAATCCAATGCTACCAGTGTTCTACAAGTAGCGACCCAAAAGGATCTGATAATTGTGGTGCATACGAAAAATTCCACAAGGATCGTCATGTCTCTGTAGAATGTACCAGTGATGAATCTCATACACCAGGCACATTTTGTGTTAAAGTAACTAAACAAGGTCTCCGAGGATTTATATGTGAGTTRAAAGTGTCTAATAATTGAATAATTGATAAATATATCATCAACATTTATGTACTTATATGCTATATTTTATTTTTTATTTTTTTATTTCAGGGGATGGTCGTTGGAGAAATGTGATCCGCCGTTGTGGATCGGTTTCAGATACTGGTGTAACTGGTGTTTGCAACTGGGGAGTTGAATGGAATGGAGTATATTGGGAAGAATGTTATTGTTCAGAAGACAACTGTAATTCGTCCACCAATATTACTCCATTATCYGTCATAACAACCACACTGTGTTCATTAATTACTATGTTCATATTGAGAAATTGATTTATACCTATTTTTAATCTCGTAACGAAGTCCGTCCAAACTTTATAGTGTTGATCACTGCATTTTTTTTACACATTTTATAATTCACTATTTATTATTTTTAAAATATAAACCGTTATATTTTATGAACAATTTGACTTGTTATCTTTTTAAAAATGTCTGTCTTCTCAATTACTTAAGTCTGAAACTAATTATTAATGTCTTGTATGGTTTGTCAGTTTAGTATCAGATATAAATGTAAAGGTGTAGGAATTACATTTGAAAATACAGTTAGTTTAATTGTATCTCTTCCATTTGGACTTATGCTGATGACCTTAAGACCCTTAAAGTTTAAGTTTTAATTAAAAATAAATCTTAAAGCCATTCTTACAATGTCAGGTTAAAGTTAACAGAACTTAACTGGCGGAATTCTGCAGCTAAATATCCTGCTAACCGTCGGTTAGCCATTAAAGGATACTTAACCGGAAATTGTAAGAACCAGCCTAAGTTTTATAATTAGGGAGAGATGATTTTGTTGTAAAAAGTAAAAACATTGAGCTGCATTTAACCCCATAGGACCAGAGCGGTTTTCAATTTGTTCTAACTGTTCATACAAAATGACAATTGTAAGTGCATCTGATTTAAACATTTGGTGGATAACCAGTTGAATATATTGTTATTATGTTGATTAGTGTTACAAAAACAAACATAATAAACTATTATAATGTTTCAGTTAAACATTTTCTCCACACTGTTTCGTAGTTCAGCACTTAGAAAAAAGTTTGCATTGAGATTGTATTGTTCTCTTGTTGATTAAAATCTTATCTAACCTTAGTAGAACTGTATTAGGTATAATGTTCTGTCTGAAAATACTTCATGTGGTACTGAAAATTATTATAAAATAATTTGTTTTTATGTCATTAAATAATCATTTGACMAACCATATTATGTAGGTTGAGGCAAAAAGCAAAGAAGAACTATATAATTTTATACCCACATTAGTCAAAAGAATTGCATTAAAATTAGACAGAAGCTAATGTTCTAAAGGTATGTTTGGCCATGGGTCTATAACAAATGCACAAACTTATATAGGTACTTTTATTCACAGAGCTAGGCTTAATTTAAATAATAKAATTTTTTCCACAGTCTCACATTATGTTTCCATAAATATTCTCGAGATAACTGTGTTATATTTTATATTTTATCTGTTTACTTTTGAATAAAAGCCACATAATATACTCTTAAATAAAAGTTTATAAATAAGTAACATTTCTCTTAAAATTGTGATAAAGTGCAATAAGCATTTAGTTATAAATTAATTTGAGTAAAAAGAATATACATACTTAGACACCTATTATATTTGCTTCATTATTATCTTTTGGAATTTGTGTTTGCTTTCTAACATAATATACAGTATTTTCAAATTAATTTTTAATAATAAGCAATCATAAAAATAATGAAAAATGTTAGACTCAATTTTTAGTTATTAATATATCCAGTGCACTGCAAAAAAATACATTAAATACTACTACTGCTGAAATTTAAAGTCAAACAAATAAATTGTTCTATAGTTGTGATATAACTGCATTCACATATTATATAGGTTACCTGGATATATCGTAGTAGAAAGATAAAATATATAGATAAAAAATTATATAAGTATCTCTTACATTCTTAAAAAATGTGTATAGTTTTAAGATAGCAAGCATCTATCACATTTTTCTCATTGAATTATTAACTAAATGAATATAATATTTTTTAAATAATTTATAAATTGTACTATTATGTAGGTACCTACTACTTATATTTCACATTAAATATTTTAATTTCTTTTGTTCAAATTTAAGAATTTTTTGAATTGCAATACTTAATCATGAGTCATGACATATGACTGAATTAAATTTGTATTTCAGTTTTCATTATTTGGCCATTCATGTTTTGTAAAAACAATTACATATTATTTTTAACATTTTTTATAAAAACTAACTAGTTAATATATTTTTTACCTTCAAAAAAAAAAATATACAAAAAACATAAAATTATTGAAGTCAAAATGATCAAAATTTTACAAATATAACAAACATAATAAAAGCATTTAAGATTTAAATAGCCATGGTTTGCAAACTTTTAAACCGGGCGGTGAGCCTTTTTTTATCATACATTTAGTCCCGGTAACCTGCTGAGTTTTCATTGATTACAAATTTGAGGCCTGTTCTTTAACATAAGAATATTAGTCATTAGCCAAATTAAACAGTTGACAAAACTGAGAAAACTAAAGTTGTGCATAATGTGCAATGTGCATATAATGTAATACACATTTACACAATATGTGGGGCATTATGATTAATGTATAAATGTTATAGTAAATGGTCAAAATATTTGATAACCTGATAAATGGTCTGCAATGAAAATTTATAACTATTATTAATAATTTATTTATAGACACAAATTATTTTTATGAAATTTTAATTGAAATGAATAAAAATAATTATAAATTAATTGTAATTTTCTTGTAGGGCACCATTGATTACAATAGAAACTGCTAGTATGAATAATATTAATTTATTATAAAATGTGTTTTAACTGCTTTTTGATTATCTATATACTTAACAATTATTATTTCTTAAAACAAACTAACAAGTTTGTTCATAATTCAATAGCCAGAATATATTTTTTTCTTCAAATTGTGAAATAGTCAGCACCTACAATATCTTAAAAATAACAAGACTGACAGTGACTTGTATATCTTTTATTAATAATATATCATGTTACAAATAAAATAACAACAATATATTAAATRATTAAAGAAATAATGAAATAACTTATGAGAAATTATATAAGATACGAAGGGAGAGAGGCAATACAAAACTGATGCATTTATAAACTAAATGTTATTATGTTTAAATTAAATTATAATTGTACAAAAGATTTGATATTTTAACATTTATATAGTGCATAACACGTTAAAATAAATATAATTAACATTTAGTTGTTTTAAGTCGAATAAAAAAACTAATAAAAAATTGTATTAACTAAGCATAAACAATTAAAAAAATAGAAAAGGTAACACAAATTAAAACCATAATTTGATATAATATTAAGATAAAATGAACAAGTGAGATTCTATAACAAAACATTTATTATAATATATTTTGAGATATTTTAATGTAATTTAAATCATATTAATATGTGAAATCAGTTAGATGAAAAAGGATTTATCTATTATCTTAGATAGTTAAGTGAATCATTTTAACTTGCAAAATACAAAAAACAAAGTAGATTAATGTAACAAGTAATAATAAAATTGATCATTTACCCATTATTAGAAAATAGTTGTTAAAATTAGTAGCTAATAATACTGAGTTACAAACATATTCAAAATATAGAATACGAAACTACAWTTTTTTTTATAAAACTTACCAAAAACATCAAATATATTTATACTATAATTTTAAGGTTATAAATTAGTAATAAATAATTGTTCATAAAATAATCGTTGAATAATACTCGTGTACAAATATTTAAAAAAAATACTAACTATACATTTTTAATAAAAATGTTATTTTATAATTAAATATGTTATAATACTATAACATGTTAAAAATGGACGGATCAGTTACATTTTTCAGTTTATTAATTACAACATAATACCATAGCAAGATAAACAACTTCAAATGGCTTTAAAAATAAAATAGTTGTCAACATTATTGTTGTYGTAATTTAAAATAAAAATGGTTTGATATCTGATTAATGCAATATTCTTTAATCATAAAAAAATATTCAGATATCAACTACTTATATCGATTGATGAATACATTACAGCAGTCTTCTGTAAACAATAAGAGCTGGTACTAACAATATGCATAAATGAGAAGAAGAAACGGCAGATGCACCATTGCATCCATCTCTAGAATTGCAAGTACAATACTCAGTAAATATATTATGAGTGCCTGTTCTCATTAAACAATAACGTTCGTCACCACCAATGCCTGGTTCGCCCAGAAAAGCACAACTCCGGTAAAATCGCCATTTTCCATACACTAAAAAATAATTTAAATCAATAAACCATTTAGGTGGGCTTTAATTAAATATGTTTTTTTTTCACAATTGTATGTAGGTACCTTTTTGACGGATTTTGCGGCACATTGTACCTCGTACACCAGGGTATGTGTCCAGTTTTTCCAGTTTGCAATCTTTCATCGGCATCGAGTGATTATCGAATGGATCCACGCATTTGGGGTCGTGAAGTGAATCGCAATGCCAACACATGAGACCACAAACTAAAATAATGCAAATGACTCATCAACTGATTTATTGCAATAGTCAGGTTATGACATCAACATAAATATGTTTTCATTGTTTTTATTTACCAGAATAAACGCTATACAAAACGATGAAGCTCATACAAAACACACAAAGAGCGGAGGGCATTGTAACGAGATTTCTATTTTCACAAAATATGAATTATAAGGACTTAATTTAAAAGTTCACATCACTGGTTTGAGAAATATGTCACTGTAATTTAATATTTTATTATTTACTTCTAGCGAACTACCTATTTCAGTTTAAACTTTGAATCACACGCCCAAAATATTTTGTAAATTATAATCAAATCAAACAAGTGTTGTTAGTAAGTTTATTACACACTGGCACACAGTGCATCCAACTAATAAGATATAAATTGTATATATTTAATTAATCTCTTTTCTATGATTCACGGGCAGCAATGCAATGCTGTTGGCAACAGGCTATAATTTATCATAGACGTAATATGGCATTGGTCAGTAAAGTTGAGTCCCCTGAAATAACAGCAAAATTTATCTCATGGAATACCAGGATTTATCTATTTTATCTCATACCCACGGGCAACGATGTAGAGAAGTATCTTCTCCACATCGTGCTCATACCATTGTTGCATTAAAATAAAATGCAAATACTATATACTGTACAAGATACAACTGTATACTACCATGGTCAACTGTACAAGACCAATATTAATATATTATGGGATAGTATGGTATATTGGCCTGTGAGTATGTGATTTGTGACATGTGTCCGGTTCCTGTCGTTCCTGATAAGCAGCTAATAATATACAATTAAGGGGCGTAGGTGTAATAACTTTAAGTGAACAATGCAGGGCACACACACCACAAGTATTATTAACGCCCAACAGACATCTGAAGTCTGTTCAGTATATTGACTTCATTCCTTCAGTGTAAAAATTTTAAAATTCTGTTAATACCTACAATAGTACTCAACTTGAGAATTTGCTTATCCATCAAAATCCAACAGTTAAATAGCATTAGTAACTTCTCTAAGACATTCTAGGAATTAGAAAACACAATACAAGAGGAAAAAGATAAAAATATTTTACAATCAACAAGTGGTTTGCATACTTAAATAATATTTTTATTAAGTAATACTTAATAAGTACAACATTAGGGCAGATAATAACGTATAAATTATTCAAAATTTATACTAAGGGCAAAGGCTGCTTCTTGCTTATGTATAAGCAATACATTATCATTCGTCGTCACGCAACCATACTAGGTATCTTTAATTGTGGTGTATACTATACGCATGCACAGTGATGACTTCGAGGTCCAGTTGGTATGCTTTAAGATTTTAAATCATAATCATAATTCAAAGCTCTATCCAGACTTCCAGAGTCCAGTCATCCATTATCCATTATCCAGTATTGGCAGTATTCCAGTGTACATTGGGGACACAAGCATGGACGCTAGTCTGTAGACTACCACTTGTAATATTATTTGTTTGGTCGTAATGCTGTAATGCCGAATAGGTAATATGGCGTCTATAATAGTCTTGGTCCATAGAATAATAGTTTGTTGAAATGTTAAATTATTATATAAACAAATTAATATAAAAATGTATACATCATAAAAATAATATTTAGGAAAAACGTAAAATGGAAAGTAATTTCATCTTCTAAGTTTTAATAACATTTATTAAAAAAATCCTATTTTCATAGAAATCTAAAATATATAATTGACCGTTTGATGGATTTTGGCTCGAGTTGAGCCTAGGTTAAAGGGTGTATTATATCTGCGATGTTATACAACGATATGTATTAAAATTAGTATTTTATCACTTTAATAGCATCGCACTATTATATTGACGGATATTTTCTCTAAATTGTTAATTCTTCATTTTCATCAGTTGACAAATAAAATATTTCATTGGGCTAATGGCACCCTATTAAATATATTTAGTCATTACCTATTATAACATAAACTAAAATTTCCTCTAGTCTCTTTTTTGAACTCTGTATCATAATTAATGAACTTTTCAGCAATAAAATCCCTATCTCTAAGAACATTTTTGTCATTCACATCAGCTCTTGATGGGTATTTTATATCAAAATCAGACAGCTTTTTCCAGTATATGATTTTCAATCAAAATTAACACTTTATACAAAATGTACTGATAGACAGTTAAATCACAATTGTTAAAACGGCTCCTATCTTGCTGCAAGATTTCAAATTAAATATTGTCTTTATGATTTTTGTACACCTTTGGTAAATTGGTTATGTGGAAAAATTGTAATCTGAGGAATATTGTTTGCAAACCTTGCTATATCTAAATTCGTTCAAACTTTTTTTGTTATTATATTAATTTGAAAAATATAGTTTATGAAATTAATAATAAAATATTATATATAGTTAATTAGGCTGACAGTAGACTGTTGAGTATTGTATTTTAAAATAAAATGTGAATGTAATGTTGATTTATTCAATGTATACTTATATAGAACTAGGTTATAATAATTCTAATAATGTTAGGATACAGAAAAGAAAAAAACTAAGACATATTGCTTTAAAATTATACATGTATATATATATTTTTTTAAATTCAATTTCTTATACATTTATATAATTTAATATATTATTAAATATTTGTGCAAATAGTATAACTGAATAATTTACTAGATGAGAACAAATAATAGAAGAAATTACATCTATAATAAACAACAACAAATATAAAATAATAATAATAATAAAAATAATAGTAGAATGAGGCATACAATTGAAAATAATACTTAAAACATAGATTGGTAAATTTAAAACATACATCAACATATAAGTAACAAATAAATGTGAATAAAAAACGTATTATTTTTTTCCAGGAAACATATTATTCACATTAATATATTTAAAGCCACATTTAGAACTTAAATCAAGAAATATAAAATATAATGCATAATGGCACAATGCTTCAAAAGTAATTGCATTTTTTTTATACTCAAAACAAAAATGAACAAAATATTTTGAAATATTGAGCAATATTGAAAATATGTTGCATACTTCCATATATTTGTAAAAGCTACATAAATTTAAATGTTAACATTGTTACTAAGTAGCACAAAAAGTTAGTTGGTGTTTTTAGTAAAGAAAAAATTATCAAATTTAACTTTTAAAAGCGTTTCTAATAAACCAACAAAATAAAAAGAGATCAATTTTTTTGTGGGAAAAAACCTAGAAGCACCAAATAAATATAATACCTAATATTAGATGGTTATTTAATTTACTGAAACCAAATAGTATAATCACTATAATATAATCATATGATTAAGCATTAACATCAAAACCATTACAAAATACTAAGTACCTTTATTCTTTTCAACAAACATTTAAGAATGATGTGTTGTAGAATTGAAGTACCTGTTAGCAAAATAAAAAATGTCTTATTAAGAAACATATTTCATAAAAAGCAATAATAGCCATAAATAAAATTAAAATATTCAACTGCATTAGTCATTATTAATACACATTTTTATCAACATTCAAGCAGAGGTTAATTTGAAAGATATAATATTACAGTAAGAGAAAATTTTTAATAAATAATTCAAATAATACATACAAAATAAACCTCCAGTAATTGTGTAGGTACACTACATTTATCTAAATATTATATTATAAACTTTTATTTTCATGTATTATAGACTAGCTATTGATCTATATTGCATACAATATAATAGGGATGGAGACTTGCTAACTAATACTAATACTGGTAATAGGCATTTATAATGTTGGTACTATATCATTAAGGTCAAAATCCCATGCATATGTCAACAGGTCAAGATCACTCAATTGTTGTGACATGCCTCCAATAGAAGCGAGATCATCACTTATTTCTGCAACATTTGTCTTCAACAGTGGTACAGCCGGCCGTAACAAATCAGTTACTTTTACATTCAATCTTTTCACCTATAGAATAATATTAAATAAAATAACATTAATTGATAAATTATTATTAGAATAACCAGTTCAGTGTCCATTATTTTTTCAAAGAAATTATCAATAATTATAATAATGGACTCTCTAATATCGGTTCACATATCCATGGGAGTTGGAGACCACCTATTCTATTGTAAACCATTAGTATAAACCATGCCACCCATATATATAAGGATACATGTATTAAAATAATTTTTCTAATTTCTCTTCATAATCAATTACATAAATTAATTCCATTAACATAGACAAGAACATGTAAACTTGGCCCAGTTTTTATTTTTAATTTACAATAAGCAGTTTACTTTAGTTTTATAAATTTTAGTATGAGAGAGAATTGAATATTAACAAGTTTAGGTAACAAAATTATCTATTTTCTGATGGCGGTTAACTTTTTATATTTAAATTTTAAAACAAGTTAGTATATAAGATGTTGTAATTGAAAAATTATTATTACTTGTTTCAGAAAGTTAAATATTCAAAATAAACAACTTCAAACAGAACACAGACAATGTGGTTACAATGAAGTCTGACAATAGGTTCAATTTACCCTAATATTTAAGTATCAAAACTAAATTGAACCTTTTGAATGTAAATTCACTATGTTACTATAAAATATAAATTATATATGTATGTTATGTAAAAAAATATATGGACTTGATACATACTTGTTTAGTAAAAGTATGAGCCAACAAATTGGGTGCAGAGGGTCTACTTTCTGGATCTCGTTGACAGCACAATTCAACAAGATTGTGAAACTCCTCTGTAAACATCCTTGTATAAACACTGCTCACAGGTGCTGCATTCACACCAATTGTTTCTTCGGATTGGTATCCATTATCAGCTGCATTATCTTCATATGGATAACATGTAGTGCAGTCGAGCAAGTGTGGAATAAGACCTTTAACTTTTTGTGTTAGCATAAGCGTGGTATCGGTTTCAGCAAAAGGAACAAAACCATTTGCCAATTCACATGATGTTATTCCTATACTGTAAATGTCAGACTTTTCATTGTACCCGAGCAAATTTTGTTCGAGCATTTCGGGACTAGACCAATTCAAGTTGTTAGCGGATTGCAGTGGCAAGGAATGTAAATTTGACCGTTTATCAATAGGACACATGCTACGCAAGCCTGATAAGCTTGCATGTCCATCTGCGCGGATCAATATGTGACCCGCCTTTATAGCCCTGTATAAAAAATTATTTATAAAAAAATGTATCAACATTGTCAGTGGTAATATGTTACAAACCTATGCACAAGCCCTTTATTATGTATGTACTCTAGTCCCAACAGAACGTCCCTGAGCACAAATGCTATAACTGTCTCCGGTAATCCTTCCACGAAAT